CAATCTCACCATGGTAATCACTCCCACCACGGCAACCACTCCCACCATGGCAACCACTCTCATCATGGCAACCACTCCCACCATGGCAACCACTCCCACCAAGGCAACCATTCCCATCATGGCAACCAATCTCACCATGGTAATCACTCCCACCACGGCAACCACTCCCACCACGGCAACCACTCCCATCATGGCAACCATTCTCACCATGGCAACCATTCCCATCATGGCAACCAATCTCACCATGGTAATCACTCCCACCACGGCAACCACTCCCACCATGGCAACCACTCTCATCATGGCAACCACTCCCACCATGGCAACCACTCCCACCAAGGCAACCATTCCCATCATGGCAACCAATCTCACCATGGTAATCACTCCCACCACGGCAACCAATCCCACCATGGCAACCAATCCCACCATGGCAACCAATCCCACCATGGCAACCATTCCCACCATGGAAACCAGTCCCAACATGGTAACCTTTCTCACCATGGCAACCATTCTCACCCTGACAACCACTCCCACCATGGCAACCACTCCCACATATTTGATGAAAAGCATGCTGAACCTATGAAGAAAGATGCCGAAGAGGACAAGGCAGTCTTGAGGGTCCTTGCCGACGTAATTTTCAGTTTGCTGGGCGTGAACAACGACGACGAGTAGTTGACAGGTCACAAACCATAGGTATGCATGTCGAATGATGAATCTAAGACCAAAGAAGTCCTGATTAGATTTCATCTCATAAAAAAAAGAATCAGTCTACGTCTCTCTTAGATGAGTAGTAGCCTTGCCAATAATTAGTTCCCAAAGGAAGTGAAACAAAATTATCAATTTTAAATGGTAGCATTCGAAGCTAATCGTTTGAGAAAGATTTAGAGCTATTTGCGAAGAATGCAAACATTCCCAAAATGTTATAATAATTTGTGCATTCATTCTGAACGTCTCAACACCAGCCTTGTTAGTTTTCTGAAAGTCTAACCAGCACGATATTTGACACAAACCAAGTAGCGTTCAGAGACAGGTCGCTGTTCGAAAAATTTGTGTACTGTCTCTTTTTTTAACGCTGCTACTCTGTTTAAGGTACATCATGTTTGCTTACTTAAAGTTAATAAATGCACATTGGTTTCTTTCATGAAGGAAGTGTATACTGAATCAAAAATGGAAATTAAAAGACTGAACAACACAAATGCTTTGGGCCTTTTGGTTTTTTGTTTGTTTGTTTGTTTTCGAAAAAACACTAGAAGTGAGATTATGCCGCGTCCTATTATCAAGTTTATTTATCATCTAAATGATTAAAAATACGGAAGAGACCAACATGGAACCAGAAACCTTTAATGAATATGGTTTTGTTGATGATCATAAGTTGGCTCACAAAGTCGATCAAAGTCTTCAGCATCACAGATCACCAAACTGAATTAAGAAAGCAGCAAATTTTGCGAAAAGATAAGCACTATGAAAATAGATGCAATGAGAGTGAGCAGAAACACAAGACCCCTCAAAAGACAAACACACAAAAATGACATGCTCGATCAGATCCAAGTATTCAAGTGCTTCGGAAGTGTATTCACAGAGGATGGACGACTGTATATACAGAGGAGTATATACAAGAGTTGGGCTCTCGTGGTCGAGAGGTTAAGGTGTTCGCCTCTCATTCAATAGGTCCCGGGTGAGAATCTGGAAAGCGACGAAAAATTTTTTTCTCTAAAAATTTCTCCTTCCACATCCTTTCCTGCTCTTTAACAATGTTCTGTTTATCTGCTTTCGTGTCCACCTTCTGCCCCGGTCCCCTCAACCACTTTGCCCCCACTTCTGGGCTCCTGACTCTTTCTGCAGCCTTTCTACATCTGCTTCCTGGCTCCTTCTTACTGCTGTCTTTCAGCCACTCCCCTGATCTTATGGTAGGTCAGATCTACACTTAGCCTTCTCGGATAATGGCGCAAATTTTCGGAGGTCCCGTGTGCAAGTTGCGAAAGTTAAAGATCATTTAGTGATCTAAAATCGAAAAGCGTAGGCTTCGGCCGCCACTCTGGCAAAATGTTTAAGGTGCCCGCGCGCTCATATGACCTTATGCAGCTGCAAGCGCCGTAAACACTTACCCCCGCCCTCTAAAAAAAAAGAGAGTAAAAAAAAAAGAGGCGAACATGGAACCAGAAACCTTGAACGAATGAGCTTTTGTTGATTATTAAATGTTGACACACAAAGATAACCAAAGCCTTCAGCATCACAAACAACCAAATTGCAGCAAATATTACATGAAGATCAGCACCATGAAAACAGTTGCAATGAGAGTGAGCAGAAATTTAATGTCCCTCAAAATACCCTCAAACAATGACAGGCTCAAACAGATCCAAGTATTCAATTATCTTGGAAGTGTAGGCCTATTCACAGAGGATGGACGACTGACTAACCAGAGAAACATATACAAAGGTAAAAAAAAAGAGCTATTACGGATTGAAGACAAAAGAAAATAATAAATTGCGGCGACTAACCTCAAACCAAATTGTTGAGGTGTGTGTTGTTGTTATGTGTAGTGTAGTACGTCGCATTTGAGTTCATGAGTAACAGTTCAGTGAAAGTGTCCAAGCTGTTCCAGTGAATGTATGAAAGATATGTCTCGTCCTGCTGCAACTTACATGGTGCTCACCCCAGGAGAAAAGACCTTCCTTCTGGACATCGGAGGCCGCGCGGAATGCATCTCAGTAGATCGCCTCAAGCCTGCACAGGTAGACCCTACCCAACCTGTCCATCTACAGCAACCAGAATGACACGGCCGCCCTCCGGTGTAGCGGGAACCAATGCCTACCGATAGGAACACCGATGGGCAAGAGCAGACTACAGAGGCGGTTCACCACCACAGAATTCTACACTTATAGAACGGGAACTGTACCACGTGACCTGTGAGGAATTGAAGACCGAAAACAATGGCGTCTTGAGGGCACGATTTATCGTTTTCGGAAGTAACCCTATAGCTTTTAAAGCAAGAGCGGCTTTTACAAACGAGTGAAAAGTGGAACATTTACTGTCCAGTTTGTAATTTTGAGTTACAGAATTCACTGTGCAACTAGAGATTGGAATTAAGGTTTTAAATTGTTGTGTTTTTGGGTGCAACAACAGAAACAGCAGACATAGAGAGTTTATAAATATAAGATCTACAGAACTGTGAAAAAATTCGTAACACGGATGGGATTGTTCACAGCACTTTTAGCTTCCCACACACATTTTGCATACGCATATGGCCTACGTAATTTTTTAGTAGCAAAAGAAATTTGTTTTACACTGAACATATTTTTTCACTAGGTCTAGATCTAATTAATGTTCTCAAAACATGCGTTCAATAATTAACGTTATGTCGCCAGCAGAAGTAGAAAAAAGGACGGACTTGCTTTTAAAAGAGATTTAGCTCCAGCTATAAACTTTTAAAAAAAATTGTAGAAACCATTGACTGGGATTTTTTAAAAGTATTGGGCTAGTATTTATTAAAGAATTTTCTTTAAAGAAATTTCTAGAATAATATAGAACCTATAGATGTGTACAACTGTTTGAAAAAAAATACTCATCGGTTAAGACGAATTGATATAGATCTAAGTCATTGTGTAAAAGTAGGAGAATCTAGATCTAGGTGTTCGATAGTTCAGTAGCCTAGATATTTGATCATAAGTTGCGCATCAAATTTTTGACCGCATGCTACAGTAGTAGAGATAGCGTATTATTTTCATCCGAAACATTAATTTCCGCATCCATACACCTTTTTGGGCCTTTATAAACATATGTAGTCCTACTTTAATTATTTTACTTTCATAATTGTTTTTGAAAGCATTTTCAATTCCTTTCACTTTCACTTCCCACGCGCGGGCTCATATGATTATGATTATAATTTAAGATTCCAAATCTGACGAATGTATTATTAAATAGCGTATAATGCTGAGTTAGCCAATGCATTGCAATGCGCGCTATTATCAATTATTGAATTGTAACTAGACTTCAATTTGGTCCGTAACAAGAGACCACTTATTTTTTTATATGTGTTCATGAATGTGTGTTTGTTTACTGTGTGCGGGGATTAAAAATTAAAGATTAAAGATTCCAGATCTGACGAATGTATTTATAAAATAGCGTAATAGTGCTGGGTTAGCCGATGCCTTGCGATACACGTTTTTATCAATTAATTGAATTGTAACAGGACTTCGATTTGATCCGTAACAAGACAACACTTATTTTTTCTTATACGTGTTCAAAAATGTGTGTTCGTTTACTGTGTGCGGGCATTAAAGATTCCAGGTCTGACAAATGTATTTATTAAATAGCATAGGCCTATAGGGCAGGGGTGGCCAACGCATTTCGATACGCACTTTTATCAATTAATCGAATTGAAACAGGACTTCAATTTGATCCGTAACAAGAGACCACTTATTTTTTCTTATTCATGTTGAAAAATAATTGTTTGTTTACTGTGTGCGGGGATTACAGGGGGACAAGCCCATCCCCTCGACATGTGATCCAGGGTATGGGGATACATTTTTCTCAAAATGCACACAGCTCTGAAATCCTTGACCAGTGATCACTCGCCATGGAACTCTTTCTGTTGTGACTGTAGACACAAGTTTCTTCATTATCACATCTAAATGAGCCTATCATTCATGCATTAGAAATCACACTCCCAACACACAGAAAATGACTTTGAACATATATTCAGGAAACATATATGCCAGTTCCAGTCTTGTTTACTTTGTTTTGCATTATTGGCTTTTATGTGTAAACCAATATTTTGAGGCCTTTTCTGCATTTTTGTGTTTTTGGCAGCATGTACAATAGGCCTATGTATTTTATGTGCAACCGACACATTCTCCAATCTCTTGTATTTGTTAGACTCGCACGTGCTTTAAACAAAGCATGTTGTTGTACACACTACTGATGCAAACACAGAGATGAATTATTAAAGTGAGAAATAATACATTTCCTTAATATAAGCTCAATTTATTTATCTCTTTCTAGTAAATTGGAGAAAAGGCTTAATATATTGTTCTTTTTTGCTTGCTTTGGATGGCCTTAAGTTTAATGACAATATTATTGTAGTGAGCATATGTTACTGTCAGCGTCCCCTTATCGTAGATCTAGTACTAATCAAGACTATAACTAGATATTTTGCCAACAGAATTAATGTTCATAATTAGTGTTATTATCAACAATACAAATACAAAAACATTGTAACATTGCCAATTATGACATATTGTTGGCAATAAAAATGTACTAGACTATATCACTATATTTCATCTTCGAAGAAAGTTTTAAATTACTGATGTAAGGTGTCTTCCAAGCCCTACCACTAGCATCAGCGTGCATAGCAACGCGAAGTCTCGCTGTGCGGCGCAACCAAAGGTGCCCTCAACCGGCCGCCATGTTTTAGTTTCAATTCCTCACAGCGAATCGGCGATCGCGAAGAGGGAGTTCCGCTTCTATAAGTGTAGAATTCTGTGTTCACCACAGACAACTCACGTCACGTGCTGGACGTCAAGTGCGTCCACCGGCACACTTCCAAGGATCCCATTAGACGTCTGTGCTTGGGGGACGTGTATGGCGACTAACCTCAAATCAAATTGTTGAGGTGTGTTGTTGTTATTGTGTAGTACGTCGCACTTGAGTTCATGAGTAACAGTTCAGTGAAAGTGCCCAAGCTGTTCCGGTGAATGTATGAAATATATGTCTCGTCCTGTTACAACTTACATGATGCTCGCCCCCGGAGAAAAGACCTTCCTTTTGGACACCGGAGGCCGCACGGAACGCATCTCAGTAGATCGCGTCAAGCCTGCACAGGTAGACCCTACCCAACCTGTCCATCTACAGCACCCAGCACGACGCAGCCGCCCTCCGGTGAAAGCGGGAATCAAAGCCTACCGTTAGGGACACCGATGGGCAAGAGCAACCAATACAGGTGGTTCACAAGAGACAACTCACGTCACATGCCGGACGTCAAGGGGGTTCACCCGCACGCTACCAATGATCCCATGAGACGTCTGTGCTGGGGGGGGGGGGGGGGGGACGTGTGTTGCGACTAACTTCAAACCAAATTGTTGAGGTGTGTTGTTGTTATTGTGTAGCACGTCGCACGTGAGTTCATGAGTAACAGTTCAGTGAAAGTGTCCAAGCTGTTCCGGTGAATGTATGAAAGATATGTCTCGTCCTGCTACAG